TAGCAATCACATCAACCAGTCGTACTAGTTCATAGGGCTGAATCAGTTCAAACCCACACAAATTCTGGCTAGCTACTTAGGTGAACTGATAATGCATTCAACCGAATTCATAATTTTCATATAAAATTCTCAAGTTTTCAATAGTTGGTTTGTAAGGATTAGATTTGTTTTTAACAGAGTTTGACCACGGATTGATATCAGTTAGAGAAGCATTAAAAACCAGGGAGTGCTGGACGGTTGTTTCATCCCAGTTTGGGGATCATCGGTAGTACACACCCACCACAGGGGGTTCGAAACCAGGACCTTCCGGTTACAAGGCCAGCTCGTAGACCATTCAGCCACTCGGACCCGATTCCTTAATGGCCAGTCCATGAATACTAACTTCCACCAATTTGTGACTTAGTGCACCAACCAACCAATGTAATCGGTGGAAGAAAAGTGACAAGTGAGCTCCATCCAGTCAAGTGTGAGGATGGATTTTCCGCCAATGACTGACATTGGTTGATGGTCACGCTGAAATCACAAACTGGTAGAAGTTAGAATTCATGCACTGGCCATTGGATCGGGTCCCAATGGCTTAATGGTATACGAGCTCGCTGGACTTGTAACCAGAAGGTCCTGGGTTCGAACCCCCTGTAGTGGGTGTGTACTGCTGAAGAGTCCCAAACTAGGCTGACAAAACAGCTGTCCAGTACGCCAGTGCTGGTTTTCCAATGGTTCTCTAACTAATATCACCTCATGACGAAATCCTGTAACCAATCAATCTACAAACCAACACTTGATAATTCAGTTGTTTAATACAATATCATAAAATGATTTACAGTAAAACATGTCTGGTATTTTGAATTCGAAATATTTTGGAATAAAGACTGAATACAAAACGGTCACACATGTATAAATACATCTGCATGTCACTTAAAACAAAATCTAATTATTTTGATTCATTGTGACACCAAGCAGTAGAATCCAGTGGATCCATATTTCGTCCTACTTGTCGGACTCGTGTCACCTGGATGTGAGTGATGCTGTTCTCACTGGAACCCGAACCTTGCACCTATCGTTTCAAAAACACCAAACTGTTATACACTACACCCCTAGGATCCTAAGGACCACTGCTTAGGCATTAGGTATCACTTATTATTTTTTTGTTTTTAGGCTAATAATTCACCCTTCTCGTTGAATAATTATGCCAGACCGAAATGCACCGTCTCTCTGTTGACACAGCGGATAGGACTCTCACCGACCATGCACAGCACATGGTCTGGGGTTCGATCCCTTGCTGACGTACATCTGATACCAATGGTCAGCCTACAAAATTTGGGCTACCCATATCACATGCTGAAAATTCCATACTTGTACCAAAAATACGGTTTGGAATCTGTTTGTCTGTCTGGATTCAACATAGAACTTGGCACCAAAGTGCAACAGTTCCAGTTGCCACGTTCCAAATAGCACACAAACGTAGACAAGAAGAGGAGTGAAGAGAATCAATAGAGTTTTGGCAAGTATAAGAGTGAAACAGAATGAGTAATGGTAGAAAGGAATATGAAAGATTACAGAGACTGAATACATCTGCGTAAGCCAGCCATTGACAACGATGAGTTTAAGCCATGTCACCTATTGTCTGTCTCCAGCCTTCATTGATTGATTCTTAGAGTCCCGAGGGCGGGCCGGGTCCCAACTCGGAAGTCTGCATCTCCCTACCTGCCTCAGTTTAACTGTCAAGGATTTCATGGATTGATGAGGCCATGTTTTTGTTTGGCCACCACTTACTCTTTCTTACTTCCAACCTGCACCTATATCAGCTGGTAATGCCCGTCCGTCGGGGTGGGGGAGGCGATGGTTAGGCATGCGCAGCACGTGACCTAGCCATCTCAATCTATGTAACTTTATAGCCTCTTCGATCGATTTTCCCTCTTTGCCCAACACTCTACGCCGAACCTAACGTCAACATTACTTACCAGCTTATTATACCACCACCTAACGTGAGAAAGAGATCGTAGACATCTATGATCAAAATCAGTCAACCTTTTCATGTCTTCAACTCGTATTGGCCATGTTTCAGAGCCATATAGAAGGACAGAGCAAAATGCTGAGCAGTACACACTTCCCTTGATTGATAGCCGGATGCCACGCCTACACCAGAAATGGTGTAAGTTAGCGAAAGCAGGGTGGTGGTTGGGGGGAGGGGGTTGATAACCTCACGACTATTCTCCCCACTTAAACAGGGTTTAACCGTCGGATAAGTAAGGTGATTCAGCAGCAGATCAAACCGCTGACCACTTACTCGTTAGGTGGCAATCATTCTATCGTTGAATCAACGACGTATAAAGAGTAGATTTGGCCAATTGAACTATATTGTGTATCTCCTCAGGGTTTAATATGAACCCAGGATGGTGATTATGCAATTAATCACAATAATACCAATAATAATATTGGTAATCATAGCTTTATTTCGAACAACGTATATATATATATATATATAGTACACAATCTTTAACTTGGTTTTATGTACTTCTTAAAGCAACTCTAAACTATAAGAAGCCAAGTAAACGGACGTTATAATGACCTTGACCAACCAATCAGACGAGCCCGTAATTGACTTTATCAAAAGTGGTACAATACAGTTATCTGGGTGGATTTATGTACAGAAATCGGTTTATTCTATCATTCAAGACTCAAGAATGAAATTAGGAGGTATTCTTGAAACACATACGAGAACATTTTCCTGTATAAATATTTTTCAACACTATATTTGATTACCATACAAAAAGGTTTAAATTACGCGCGTTTGCTATGGACACACCTGATTGGTTGATAAAGGTGTGCCAAGGTCATTATGAGGGTCGTTCGTTTGAGTTGCTACAATTTAGTGTTACCCTCCTTTTACACAAATTTACAGTATATCATTCAACGGAATTTTGTTTTCTATATACAAATGTTCACCGTTTCCTCCATTCAAAACACACACCAACCAAGCGGTATACTGAAAGCCATTCAAAACTGCACCTACATACACTTAAACAATTGGAGATTTACAAGGAAAGGTAGAAGAGGCAGGGAAAACAGAAATTCAAGTGAACGTACAGAAGACAAAGACGACGAAGATACCTACCTAACCAACAACAGCAACAATAAGCGTCAACCGTTTGTGCAAGAAATCTCGAAGTAGTCACTTTCAATTGCCTCACTGGGTCACGTTGTCTCAACCCACGACACGCGGAACAGATGAGGCTGTCGAAGCTAGCCAGAATCGGATATGAAAAGTAAAACAGACCCTCAATAGCCTAAAATTTGTGAGGAGGTCTACAGCACTTGGAACAAAATCAGAATTTCCAACGCTAATATCAAGTCAGTGCTTCTACACAGTTCAGAGGTCTTGGAAAGACACGAAAGGCTGCTGCAATCATCATCATCAAAAACTGCCTTGGCAACAAAGAACTATGGCAGGTAACAAACCAACCAGAACCTGTATTCATCACAGAGTATACAGAAGAAAATGGAGATTGATCAGGCATATTGTTTGTCTGTTTTCGACATATAGAACTTTGCACATATGTGCAGCAGTTCAAGTCGCCACATTCCACTCCATGTACCACACAAAGCCAGAAAAGAAGAAAGTAGGAGAAATGCATATTAGAGAGAGACAGTAAACAGAGGTGTGAGACAAAGGAATAGTAATAACGAAGAACAAAACAGTTTCATTGGAAATCACAAGTCACAAGGAGTGGATGCATCTCCGCCATGACTGAGAACGATTTTGAGCCATGTCACCAATTGTTTCCAGCCTTCATTGGTGTTTACCGTCCCGACGACCCCCTCCTCCACAACCAGGAAGTCTACACCTTCCTACGTGACTGGCTTAAACTTACTGTTGTAGATTTTATTGACTGGTGAAGCCATGTTTTGGTTTGACCGTCACTAGCTCTTTTCCAACCTGACCCATCCTATATCAGCTAACATTGCCCGTTGTCGAGGAAGGCGATGACTAGGCGTGTATGCGTAACACATGTCCTAACCATCTCAGTCGATGTAATTTCACAGCTCCGTCGATTGATTTCCCCTCCTAACATAGCCTAGCACTCGATACCTAACCTCAATATTGCTCACCTTATTATATCACTTCACACACACGGGAGATAGAATGCAGACACCTATGATCAAAGAAAGCTAATCTTTTCATGTCTTCCACTCTCAATGGTCAGGTCTCACAGCCATCCATAAAGGAGGACGGAGTGGACTGATGAGCAGTACACACGCCTTTTGGTCGACAGTCAGTCGGATATCACGTCTACGCCAGAGACAGAGTAAACTGGCATATACGAAACTAGCCCCCTGTATTCGTGCTGAGATTTCGTCAGAGATCAACCCGTTGGCGTTGGCTGATGGCACTTCCCTAGTAAGTGAAGCGGTCAACGTGCTCTACCACTTCACTTCCTATTTCTAATCTAGGAGTCGGTGTAGTCCAGTCCTGTAACATCATCTTACATTTGACAGCGAGAGCGAATCGCATGCCAAACATTCGTAGATTGCGGCTCAAGGTGTTCAGAAGACTCTGCTGGATTTTGTCAGACTCCTCGCCTAGAAGGACTATATCGTCTGCATATTGTAAGTCAACGAGTTTATTCCCTGGTAGCAAGTCAATCCCTGAGTCGCTGAAGTGAGTTAGGCTTAAGTCCATTAGTACATCTATGATGAAGTTGAATAGAAATGGGGATAATGGGTATCCTTGACGGACGCCACTAGTCGTCACCACTTCAGATGACAACTCACTGTACGATCGGGCATACACTCATGAGAATATTGAATGACATCATGGGAAGCGTCTGAACGTGACATGGAGATGATCATGTGAAGAGGAAATGAGGACATGCAGACAAGCACGGATAGATACCGACGAAAATGATAGAAGAGAACATAGTGAAGTAATGTCCTGCTGAATGCCCATATATGTCCTACTCGTAACCCGAGGGAATATGAACAGCAATAATGACAAAGAATGATATATAAACTGTTTATCTACCTTCGAAGGAATTGAAATAATTGCAAAACCAATTGTTATTATTATTATCATTGTACTATTATTGATATGTTAAAGAGAAAAAGCGAATTTCGATAAGACAGAGAAAACAATATTATTATTAATAATAATAACAACAACAATGGTAATAAAAACAAAATAATAAAATTATAACTGAAAAAATACTTCATTTTCAGGTTGTTCCATTTTCCTTCCGTTTAAAAAAGGCGCGCGCGCGCACGCCAGAAAAAATGAACAAATTAAAACAAAGTTAATCATTAGTTATCGTTATAATTATAAATAATCTTTGAATATTTTCTGTTTTCTCAAAAACATAATAAATGTTGTGTAAGATATCAACATTTATATTAATATATTATCTGTTATATTATATGTAAAAATTAATTGAAATTTTGTTTTAATTAAACTTTTTGTTTCAAATGAACATCATCTGTGATAAGATCATCATCATCATCATCTTCATTACTTTCAGTGGTATCAACGACAACACCAGCAGTACGATTATTAACACTGCCGCCTTCTAGTTCAGCTAATATTTCTAATTCTAATTCTTCATCAATCTCATCTGATTCACTGTCATCGTCGCCATTATTATTTTTATTACTATTATTTAAATTCTTTTCAGTTTTGCTCAAAACAAGTTCATCAACTTCACGTGCAATCTCCTCTTCTAATTGTTCTTCTAATGATTTAGCTAAATGAAATTTAAAAAAAAAACGGAAAAAGATGGCAACCGAATAAACAAATAGTTATAACAAATAAAAAAATTTAAAATAGTTTTATTTTTAGAAGAAAAAAGTATTTTATTAGCATTATTCCATGTAGCATATACCGTTTTAACTGTTTATGTAATTTAGGTTGAATAGGGCGCGTGTAGACGCGGTTAGACAGGTTCGTGTCTACGAGTTTGCTTTAGAAAGGATAAAATCAACTGGAATAAAAAAAGAGTTCAATTCAGAGTTCAGAGTTAGCAGACACACACATAGGAGCATTGCATCGACACTGACATAACCTTTCTTTCGATGAAGTTATATACAAGTATTGATTTTGTAGGGATTTTGTTTAATTGCATGGAGGATTTCATCATGAGCTGACATCAGTTAGAGAACCACTGGAAAATCAGATGGGAGTACTGGACAGCTGTTTCGTCAGCCTAGTTTGGGACTCTTTAGCAGTACGAAACAGCTGTCCTGTACTCCAGTGCTGGCTTTCCAGTGGTTCTCTAAATGATGTCAGCTCATGATGAAATCCTTCATCCAATCAAACAAAATCCCTACAAAACCAATACTTGAAAATTAATTTGATGCTCACTAGTGACTGGCCCTATTCAGGCAGTTAAGCTGGGGTTCTGGTGAGAAGCCGTGACCAGTAGGGTACAGCAGGTTAAAGGCGAGGCAGTAAATCATCGAAGAAGACGTTGCGAAATGGTCACGCTATGTCGTGAATTGGCAGAAGTAAGAATTCATGGGCTGGCCATTGGATCGGGTCCCAGTGGCTCAATGGTCTACGAGCTAGCTCGCCTAGTAACCAGAAGGTCCTGGGTTCGGATCCCTGTGGTGGGTGCGTACTGATGAAGAGTCCCAAACTGGGACGAATAAGCTGTCAAGTACTCCCAGCTGGTTTCCCAGTGGTTCTCTAACTGATGTCAGCTCACTATATATATATATATATATATATATATATATATATATATATATATTTGAGCAGTATATGAGGTAGAGGTATGGAATGGCAATCAAACCTCTACCTCAACTTCCTTCATAGACTTTGAGAAGGCCTTCAACAGCCTTGACCGCGAAGTAATTTGGAAACTACTCGAGTACTACGGCGTACCCCAAATATTCATCAACTTTATTCAACAGCTGTACGACAACGGCACATGTCAAGTCATCCACAACGGAAAACTCAGTGAGGCGTTTCGAGTAAACACAGGAGTCAGACAAGGGTGCTTATTATCACCAATGATATTCTAATTGTGGTGGACTGGATTATGCATCAGACAGTGGGAAAAGAGAACACAGCGGTATCCTGGACCGATGTGAAGAACCTACAAGACCTGGATTTCGCGCGTGGATGATTTATGTTTGATGTCACACAAAATCGAAGACTTACAAGCGGAAACCGACCGACAAACTGGTCAAAGAAGCAGCCGGTGAAGACAGGACTCCAGGTGAACATAGACAAGACGGAGGTTATGAAAATAACAAACCAACAACAACAACAACAACAACAACAACAGCAACATCCAGCGCCAATCACCATCAACGGGAGAGATTTGAAAGAGGTTACTTCATTCACTTATCTAGGGAGGGAGCATTGTCTCAACTACACGACGAACGGACGGACGAGGATGTCAAATCGAGAATCGGGAAGGCGAGAAACACATTCATCAACCTGAAACCAATCTGGAAATCTTACGCTGTCACTCAACTCAGCCTGCATCAACAACAAAATGATTCGGATTTTCAATACAAACGTCAAGTCAGTCAGTTCTTCTATATGGATCAGAGTATTTCCAACAGCCTGTTGCACACCTTCATCAACAACAACTGTCTTCGCTCTTTATTGTACTGAAGATCAGATGGCCGCCGGAAAAAACAAGAACCAACAAGGAACTATGGGAAGAAACAAAACAAGAACCAATCACCAAACAAATATGCAGGAGAAAGAAGTGGAGATGGATTGGACACTCTCTGAGGAGGCCGCTGAGTGGGTGACATCGCGCGTCAGTGCCATAGCTCGAGTGGAACCCGAAAGGGAAGCGGCGAGTAGTGGGACGTCAGTGCAAGGGTGACATGGAGGAGATCGTGTGAAGAGGAGTTGAAACAGTATGGATTAACATGGATGCAGGTGGAAAGTACAGCAGAAGAGAGAGGCGAGTGGAGACGTGTTGTTGAAGCCCTATGTTCCACTAGGAACCCAAGGGAACAATGATTATAATAATAATATGAGGATACAATTGAAAGCTAAATATTTCTTCGCTTAACTATTCATTAATCTTTTAAATAACTTCATCATATTTAGAAAATCAATATATCCAGAGAAAATGAGCAGTAGAAGCAGTAATAATAATAATACATCTCATTACAAAATTGAATAAAATTACAAGAAAGTAACAATACCCGTTAAAACAATAACAGTTTTTCAACACTGAAAGGATTATTATAGAAGAAGCATAAGCCTTAAGGTTAACACACTCACAGAACGCATAGAGATTTTCATATTCATTTTATGTCTTTATTGTTTGGTTACCTGAGAAGCATTAGTTACTTGAGAAATAGTCATACTTACACACACACACACACACGAGACAAAACTATTAGAAATCATATATATTTCTCAAGTCTGCCCCATATGTGAGAATACTCTTTTTCTTTTCTCTAGAGTTTAATCAATAATCACTGTTCTGCTCTGTTCTACTTATAATAATCGATAATACTGATACCAAAAAGAACATGGGTGGCGTTACTTCACTGTAGAGCCCAGAGGGGGGGGTAGCTGCTTGAGGGAGGCCTGTTTGAAGTGATCTTTGAAGTTGTGTCCGTTGGACCACCTTACTGCTATTAAAAAAATCACCGCAGAGTAAGTCGGGATGTTCACTTTTTGGAATCAAGCATTTCTAACACCCCGCCCCTGATGGGGCGGAAAGACAGCACATCTGACTAACTGATCGTTTGAAAAAAACGCCTTACTAGTATTGTAACAACAGAAGACAAGGGCCAGCTAACAGATCGTTTAAGGAAAATCAACACATATTTATAGATTTTAATGTACATTATTGTAGATTATTGTTAGTAGAAAATACAGTCTTTTGATTGGTTGTTTCTCACAGAAAGTTAACCTTGCATCTCTTTGTGGCTGTGTCAGATCATCCATATGCTAACTGTATCCGCCTACGCAAAGCCTTTGTTCTCATTTTCTCACCACCAATATTGGGGATAGAAAGATTGACGTCAATTACTGTCTACCAACCTTGGCTAGCAGCCAGCTCTCACCACAGTATCACCGCTCTATTTACCGACAGTACAACTCCATCCTGAAGACCGTTAATATAGATAGGGTCAACGAGTTACACTATGATGGTAATTGCTCTTAGTCTATCTGCTATCCAACCAACCTTTATGGGATGATACGACCCCTACAGGAGGAATATTCGTTCCAGACAATGTAGCTTGTTGCAAAAATCAAAGATATAGTTTACTTTCCTTCAGGTTTTGTTTCGAATGTGTCAAAAAAAACAACATCTTATCTACATTTAAGGAGGAAAGGCGATGATTTAAGTGAAAATAATGTTTAACACAACACCTCTGATCTACTTAAACCTGACGACTTCACTCATCAAGTCACATCACTTAATAATATGGTTATTCGAGTTAACCCCCAAACAAGCAACCCATAGGTACACTAATGCTCCCCAAATCAGTACCATGCATGCATGCATTGGTCTAACTCTATCCTTCTTTGGTTAACATTGGTTGTTCGAGTAGCGCGGTAAAGTATGCGAACAACACGCCTTTACAAAAAACTTCATGTCAAACCGTCACGTTACAAAACAAAATGCGGTTTCGTTCAACTTCAGGTAACCAATAGAAGAAAGACATCATTAATGAAAATTCTGTAACATTTCCATGTCTTTTCCTTCCACCGGCTGTCCGTCTGTCTGTTATCGACGTAGAATTTTGCACATATGTGCGACAGTTCAAGTCGACACACTCCACTCCTTGTAGCACACAAAGCCAGAAAAGAAGAAAGTAGGAGAAATGCATAATATAGACAGTAAACAGAGGTGTGGTGAGACAAAGGAATAGTAATAACGAAGAACAAAACAGTTTCATTGGAAATCATAAGTAACAAGGAGAGGATGCATCTGCACCGGTCAGCCATTGAGAACGATTTTGAGCTAGCCATGTCACCAATTGTTTCCAGCCTTCATTGGTTTTTACCGTCCCAAGGACCCCAACCAGTCACGAAGTCTACACCTTCCTACGTGGCCTGGTTTAGACTAACTGTTGTAGATTTGATTGACTGGTGCTATGTTTTCGTTTGACCGCCACTAGATGACTCTTTTAAGCCTGTCCCATCCTATATCAGCTAACATTCCCCGTCGTCGAGGAAGACGATGACTAGGCATGCATACGTAACACATGTCCTAACCATCTCAGTCGATGTAATTTCACAGTCTCGTCAATTGATTTCCCCTCCTTACCAACTAGCACTCGACTGATGGCATAACCTCAATATTGCTCACCTTATTATACCACTTCACACGGGAGATAGAACGCAGACACCTATGATCAAAGACAGCTAGCTAATCTTTTCATGTCTTCCACTCTCAATGGTCAGTTCTCACAGCCAGCCATAAAGGAGGACGGAGCGGACTGATGAGCAGTACACACGGCCTTCGGTCGATAGTCGGATATCACGTCTACACCAGAGACGGCGTAAACTGGCATATGCGAAACTAGCCCTCTATATCAGTGCTGAGATTTCGCCAGAGATCAACCTGTTGGCGTTGGTGCTCTACCACTTCACTTCCTATTTCTAATCTAGGAGTCAGTGTAATCCAGTCCTGTGAATCGCATGCCAAACATTCGTAGATTGCAGCTCAAGGTGTTCAGAAGACTCTGCTGGATTTTGTCACCGTCCTCGCCTAGAAGGACTATATCATCTGCATATTCTAAGTCAACGAGATTATTCCCTGATGGTAGCAAGTCAATCCCTGAGACGCTGTAGTCACTAAGGGTTAAGTCCATTAGTACATCTATGATGAAGTTGAATAGAAATGGGGATAATGGGCATCCTTGACGGACGCCACTAGTCGTCACCACTTCAGATGACAACTCGCCGTAAGCCCTCAACCTGGCTGATGGCATGAGTACGAGTAGAGTGAGTGCCTTAATCAGTGCAATGTATTTTCTCGGCATTCCCTTTACAGCCAGCCAAGCATCGCCAGAGAACCCCTCTCGGTCGACAGAGACTATGAATCAGTAGTGTTAATTTTTTTTAAACCTAACTTTACACGCATTCCTTGAACCTAACACTCACACACACACATACACATACACGTACATTAGATGCAGCCATTGTAGTACACCACAATATTGTTTCCTGCCTTGATAAGGGTGCTAAGTTCGTTCGAACAGCTTTTTTAGACTATACTGCAGCTTTCGACTATGTTCCTAGGACACTTTTATTAGGAAAGATGATTTCAGCACAGACAGAGATCTGGGCAACTAGATGGCTGTCTTCTTATTTTAAGGATAGGAAACAGCATACTGTTTTGGCTGAAAAGCGCTCCACTTCTCAGCTAACTGAAAGTGGTGTGCCTCAAGGTGCAGTACTTTCTCCATTTCTTTTCTCTTTCTTTTTGCATGACCTTCCGAACTCACCCAAAGTTAAGTTCATTAAGTATGCTGATGAGCTGACCGTTTCTGTCCCTGTAGTTTCCACATCGAATTGTTCCCATATGAATGGCTTCTTAGCTGAAGTTAAGGATTGGTCTGGCTCAAATGGTCTTAAACTAAATCCAACTAAATGTAATACTGTTGATTTCAGCTTGAGAAGTGAAAAAGACATGCATGGATTGATCCAATCTCATGATTGTTGTAATATTGATGGTACCATGATAGAGAGTAAGTCAAGTGTTTCTTATCTTGGCATTAGTTTCTCTTCAAACCTTTGCTGGTCGTCTCATATTCTTATAGTTTCTAAGAAAGTTTTCCGTCTGACTTATTACATAAAGAAGTTGAGGCACTCAGGTATAACCCAACCTCTTCTCATACAATTTATTAATTCATGTGTTTCGCCCATCATTCTTTATTGTTCTCCATTATTCTTCCCTGGGCTACTCAAGAAAGACCATATAATACTACGAAGAACATTGAAGGCTGTAAGTAGGGTCAGTGCTATCCCTTTGAACCAACTAACTGACACTGTTGTCAATAGGCATATGAATTCTTCTAAACACTAAAGTTATCTTGTCTGATAGTGAACATCCTCTTTATTCACAATTGTTTCCTTGTATCTCTTCGGGTAAAACCAGAAGAAATTTCATAAACATTTATGCTCGTACTACAAAATATAAAAATTCGACCGTACCATATTTGGCACGAGTATTGTGTGAAGAGACAAATATCAGAAAAGAACTTTTACAACTTTTAAATCATTAACTAAACTATAAAATGCAATGATGCATATTAATGCATGTGTTATTTGTTATATTATTTATTTATTATTCACTATGACCTAGCAATGGTGTGATTTTGTTGGGTTTTATTTTTCCTATTAATTATTAATATTTTAACATTTCATACATTTATATAATTATAAACAGAGCTAAACCATTGCAATATGTAAAAGAAACGCTGAAAATTCCATGCTGTAAATTGTTATTGTTGTGGAATAAAGTGATTATTATTATTAAATACACATAAATGATATCTCCTCACAGGAAATAAATCGTAAAATACCCGATAAAACTCACTAGATGAAGTATTATCACTGTTCGTTTTTAAATTATTTGAAGGAGAATTTGATGAATATTTTGTACTTTTTTGTGATTCATCAATCTGCTGCTTAGTTTTATTCTTCTTCATTGTTGTTGTTGTTGTTGATGATGGTGATGAATGGGAGGAGGTGGACTTCTTTGATGGTTGTTCAGTAGTAGGTGTTGATGTTTTCACTTTTGTTGTTGTAGAATGCTTGGTCTTTTCACTTTTCTTTGATGAAACACCTTCACTAGTCGTCTCTTTCATCATCATTTCTGAATTGGTTTTACCACGTGACCAAATAGGATCTGAAAGTGAAAAAGTTAAATATAATTAATAATAATAATAAGTTCAAATGAACTGTCGTCAAGATTTGACAGAATAGTTCTAAAATATTTGGGCGCCGAGTGAGAAGTAGACATTTGTGAAAAAAAATTATATCTGTGTAAAATCTCAGCGAGATTGAAATGAGTAATTCCAACATTTTTTGAGTTCGGCAATCTGGTCCGAACTTCTTCAGGGAAATTAATCGAAATTAACATAACAGAGGTTTATATATAAAGGGAACATCACTTGATTTTAAAAACTTTGTCCAATCATGAGTCATTCAACAAGTATCAACAAGTATAATAAACAAATATTTTAGAACTATTTTGTCAAATCTTGACGACAGTACATTTGAGTTATTTTGCAATCGAATTAAATTAACAAAGAAACTATGTAATTGGCACAATCATCGTGTTTTCAGTCTCCGTTGTCTGGAATAAAATGCACATCCTACATCCGTAGCTGTCGAGTCACCTGACAACTCCAGTACGTCGAATAAAGCAGCTCAATATTCAGAAAGAAGACAAAGCAATAAGTCCGACAGGGTGCTTCTACTAAACTCTAATCCTAAACACTATAATTTTGAAAATACCTCTAATCATAAAATTCTAGATACTAACAGTTTGAACAGACATGAAGGCGTGATGTTAGCTGATGCATAGGAAATCCTTATTAATAAATAAAAAATGGATATGTATCACTAATTATTAATACTTGGTCAAAATTCTCGACTGTCCATATCTTCTGATGGAGACGTTAAGAAATGTTTTACAACTGTTTACCCACACACACACATATACACACTCTGTTTAAAGTATTTAACAAAGGTAGACCAATATTAGTAGGTCCGAGGTCAAATTTTGATCACAGCTCATAAAATTTTGTTTATTATACTTGTTGATACTTTTTGAATGACTCATGATTGGACAAAGTTTTTAAAAACAAGTGATGTTCCTTTTATATATAAACCTCTGTTATGTTAATTTCGATTAATTTCCCTGAAGAAGTTCGGACCAGATTGCCGAACACAGGAAACGTTGGAATTACTCATTTCAATCTCGCTGAGATTTTACAAATATAATTTTTTACAAATAATAATAGTAATGCTGTGAAGAGTGCTACTTATAATCAGATATAAGTAGTATATCAGTGAAGGAATTCAGAAAAGTAACAATATTGTTTTGGACACTAGAAAGAGGCAATCGAAGAAGAGAACTGGTGAGAACAACGTTACAACAAACACTGTGCAGAATTCAACAAGCTATCGAATGTGGTGATATTCGACCAATTTATCGAATGATGTGCAGATAAAGGTTTAAACCTACAAACTCACTCAGGGACAAGTTCTGTAGGTTTAAGGACCCTGTAGCTTGACCCAATTAGACAAAATAATATAATTTACAAAATACCCTGCAATGACTGTGAGTTAAGTCAACTACATAGGTCAAACTAGTAGGTCAGGGGTAGTCAGATTGTCAGAACATAAGAATTTAGCTAAGGTAAGAATGGTTGACCCCGAGAAGATAAGTAATTTAGAAAAAAGCTCAGCAATTGCAATGCATTCATTAACACACAACCACACAATAGCCTGGTGGGAGAGGGTTAAAATTCTAAAAAGTAATCTAGGTAGGTGGAGAGCTAGAGAGGTTGATTACTGAATTCTTGTTCACCGAGTGGATCTACACCTAACACGTGCAACAGGAATGATTCATCACTCATACCCGAAATATGCAAAATATTACTACCAATCAAATCAAGTGGAAAACAATGGAACTATATAAATGAATTTATGATGTCATGTGATTAGATAGATATGATTACGAGCAACAATAAATTGTGCTCGGAACGTCATCAGTAAACATTACTGTATAACACACTGTGAGACTTTATCAAAACAAAATTTACCCATAATGGAATTACACTCTACCACAGTGCACAAGTTTTATTCTTATATCAAAGCAAAGATAAGGTATACCAAATTTATGCACCTATAATGCGTTTGTCGTAATCAATATTCCATCAAACCTCATCGGTGTTTTCTTCTTTACAATAGTAGTAACATCGATGTGTCTACCAGCTTGACAACTCCCCTTTGGAACAGTAGTTACATTGGGTATACAATTAGACATGATGTGACCTTCGGATTCCAGAACATCGTTTTGTGGCACTTGTTTTAACTCACCTGTTGTTGTAGATACTCAGTATACATGATTGATATTAACGAGATATTTAAAGTTATTTACAGCACATTCCAACTAATAATCTTAATTTTGTCTTACGACTTCATCTCTAACATAAGGACTAAAGCCATCGATATTCATTTGAATAAGTTGAATATATATATGTGTTCATAAGAAATTCGTACAGTATTATTTTCGTTACCTTAGCGCAATCATCGTTACTTGATTGAAAAGGTTTGACAATTTCATCCTTCCCTCCATACCCTTTTACAAGATATTGTGGTGTTGTTTTAACTATCTTTTATTGGTTGGAGGATTTTATCGTGAGCTGACATCGATTAGAGAATCACTGGAAGGTCTGGAAGTACTGGACAGCCGTTTCGTCCCAGTTTAGCACACTTCACCAGTGAGCACCAACCGTGGTTCGAACTCAGGGCCCTCGAGTTACAAGGTGAGCTCGTAGAGCATTCAGCCACGGGGATCCAATCCAATGACTCGCCTTATAACCGAAAGGTCCTGGGTTCTAACCCTGGTGGGTGCGTACTGCTAAATAGTATCAAACTAGAGAGAAACGATTGCCCAGTACTCTCAGATTTTCCAATGGGAAATCCTGTAACCAAACAAATCCCCGCAAAGCAACACTTGAAATTCAAATATTGATGTAATATTTTAATTTCACCCCTATTAACTTCTCTTCTCTAAACCCTGATATATCAGTTAACAGTGCTCAACGAAGGCGGGTAGTGGTTTCACATGCAGAATACATGTTCTAACCATCTTATAATCGATGTAACTTCACAACCTAACCTGACTGACTTACTCTCCTTACCTAACACTCTACACGTCCACTCTCACTTCTACTAACCACATTTAACCACCTAACACATAAGGGATAGGACGCAGATACACCTATGGTTAAAGAAAGCTAGTCTATTTATATTTTTCACTTCCAACTGCTATGTGTCTTACAGTTGTAAAGAAGACGCACAGAACTACTGTGCACTCCACGCATACACGCCATACTTAATCAATGGCGAGATTTGATGCTTCTGTCGAAGATGACTCAATTTGGTAAATAATGTTTAACAAGTCTTCAATATCCGTAATGAAAATTTCGTTGGCAATCAATAGTTCATTGAGGCTGATGTCATTTTTCAAATAAGTGTGTGGTGAGAGCTGGCTGCTAGCCAAAGTTGGTAGACAGTAATTGACGTCAATGTTTATGTCCCCAATATTAGTTAGTGGTGAGAAAATGAGAACAAAGGCTTTGCGTAGGCGGATACAGTTAGCATATGGATGATCTGACACAGCCACAAAGAGATGCAAGGTTAACTTTCTGTGAGAAACAACCAATCAAAAAACTATTTTCTACAGACAATAATCTACAATAATGTACATTAAAATCTATATATATGTGTTGATTTTCCTTAATAAACGATCTGTTGCCTGACCCTTGTCTTCTGTTGTTACAATAGTTCTCACTTATCTTATTTTTTCCAGATGTCCAGGACAAATATTGAGCCATTCCTCTTGCGAGGCGATTTTAGTTGCTTCGATATGCAAAGCTCCAGTTAATCAGTTTCCCACTATATGCCTTGATCGTGTGTAACTGCATAAAATGTTAGCACTGACCATTGTTTTCAAAAATTTCATAGAAAAGTAGGGCGTACTAGTGCAGATTTCGCTAAGCTTTTCCGCTCCACTAGTTAAAATGATCTGGGTCTAAATACTGTGACCTGTGTAGTCGAAACTTCACATTTATTCGATAGTAAAACATTACTCCTTTTAGATGGTTGGAGACGATCGGTAGGAAGCCCTGCTTGACCTAGGTTTCGTGCTAGTCGGCACTCACCAGTCAGCAAGGCGTATCTGCAACCTTGAAGGAACTCATGTCCCTTCGGATGGCGAGCTATCTAGTGTCAAATCAAAATATCCACTACAGTCCTACAGGAGGTCAATCCCGAGCCCGAATAGCTCAGTGGTAACATCTCTGACTGCATCACTGGGTGACGAGGGTTCGAATCTCAGAAAGGACATGAGTTCTTTCAGGGTTGCAGATATACCTTGCTGACTGGTGAATGCCGAATAGCACGAAACCTAGGTCAGACAAGGCTTCCTGTGGCCGATTTCCTCCAACCATCTAATACATTACTCCTTTGTTTAATGGATTCCACAGAATTCTTTAGCTTTGTTCCCAGTAGACTGTCAATCTTATTCTTGGCTTATTACCAATCTTATGTAAGGTTTCCAGCACAAACAAGCCAGAACTGCCCAAGGTTCTAATTATGCCCCCCCCCGAAGACGCTGCCACACACACACACACACACCTTCCTACTCAAACAAATCTTCAGGTCTAGTTCAATATGACATTATGACACAAATTGTTATTATCATTACTATTATTTCCTTTGGGTTCCGAGTGGAACATAGGGCGCTTCAACAGCACGACTCCGTTTCAGGCTGTTCTCTACAGTCATTTTTAGCTGGCTACACATGATTGTCCATAACCTTTGACTTCCTCCTCACACAATCTCCCCTAAAAGTCATCCTCGGCCGACTTGCCTCCAACTACTCGTCGTTAGGGTTCTGTTAAGGTACATGATTGCCCATACCTTCCTCTCACACGATCTCCCCTAAAAGTCATCCTCGGCCCACTTGCCCCCGACTACTCGTCGTTAGGTCCGTTAGGGTCCCCCCACCACTCTACAGCATGGTGCACATCATGTACGAATTGTTACACTCATCATCATTTTGTATTTAAGCAGGTATGTTTTTAAGAGCGCGTTATTCCATTTATACTG